TCGCAGAGTCTGTTGATTAAGACCAGAAAAAGAAAATTTCTTAAATGAAAATATTACAAAGACTTGGGTGAATCAAGCGTTCAAAACGTGTAATTTAAGTATTTGGTATAAGTTAGAAAGAGGTATAACGCCAGCGTAAAATCTTCTTCAAGAACTTCAACGAAAAAAGTTGAGCGCATCTTTGTCAGCTCATTGCATCATCATTTTTTTATGTTTATATTTGTCTGGCATTTTATATGACCGAACCAGTTTAGTCATTTTATTACTATGAATCATCAAAAATCAATATAAACTTAGTATGTAAGTATGTATTTTTGCAGTTATGATAAGGTGATGATGTATTTAGCGTCCTTGGATTTTAGAAATTTAGAACTTATTATTCTTAAATCTGTTATTCCCCTGCAGTAAACTCAAAGGCTCCACTTTTTGATTAATATCCTTTTTGCTTGTATCCTTTTTCAGATGCCTGCTAAGAACAAACTACACTTAAAAAATACAATATATAGCAGCGCTTTTCTTGGCGCCAATATGTCAATATTTTAAAGCAATGGCAAAGTGTATGAACTCGAAGCATAATAAGAATGAGAAACAATCGCATTCACCCAATTTTAAAAATGAAGCTTAAACACTTGCTGATTAATCAAAAGCTTAATTAAAAAATTAAAAAATCTCGAAAAAGAAGCAACCGCTTAAATAATATAAAAAGTACAAGGGACAGTATAAAAAAAGTAAACGAGACGGCAGAAAAAGCGCTAAATTTTCGTAAAAGAAAACACAAAAAAAATCAAAAGCATAATACTCAAATTCTGCCCAACCGCCTGCCACAGTCGAAAGTAGACGGCTGGAGGTTGGTGCATACAAAATTGGGTCAAAAGTTGAACAGCTATACGAGCGCGTCGCCCCACTCTGCACGCCGGCGAGCCGACGCCGACGCCGACGGGGACGCCAACGCAGTGTGTTGTGTAAAAGGGAAAATGTTAAGCAAAACACAAAAGCTCATACTTGGCATCATAATATTGTTACTGGTCGATGTAATTTGGGTATCATCCAGTGAACTAACAAAGGTACATACATATATTCAAATAATTATATGTATGTATGCTATTTAAATAATTTCACTTTATCTTTCTTTAGTTTCTTTATGAAAATGAGAAGTTCGATAAGCCATTCTTTTGCACTTACTTTAAGACTTCGATGTTTGCCATTTATTTGGTTGTAATCGGCTTGGTGACACCTTGGCGAGAGTCTTGTGAACGTCAAAATGGCAGCTACACGGTGCGTATACACATGTGCGATATACAATTCTACATCAATGATATTTTATTTATATCGCCTTGAATTTCACTCAAGGCTTGATGGACTTCAAAAAGCAATGTCAGAGCCATTTCTTGTTTTGTCGGACCTCGCGCCGCTTTTTATTTTAAAAACATATAAGATAAAATAATTGAATTTGTAGTATTGATGCTGTTTCTATATTATAGGTTATGGATCAAGTGGCGGATGATGAGAACTATTACGCAACCAATCCCTCACTGGTATTTTACCCAAAACTGCATTACTTTTTCAATTTACTAAATTAAAAATCTATCCGTTTGCTTTCAGAGTGATCCCACATTCATTCCGATACGCTCGAGTGGAGCCATATCTGGCACAGAGAGCGATGATTCCAGCATTCGTAGCGTGCGTTTTAGTAAAATGGCTGAAGTGCGCGAAATGTCTGCACATGAAGCAACGGAAGCGTTAATGGCGCGGCTTTCCTATGCTGCTAGCATGCGCATACGCAGACAAAAGTCACATCATAAGACCGCTAAGACAGCGCTACTCTTCTGTGTGCTGGTAAGTGGAGTTCTCAAAACTCTGTTCTCCATATAACGTTTTCCTATTTTATTACAGTGGTTTATTGCAAATTATTTTTTCCAATTATCACTCGAGTTGGGGGAAACAGCAATGGTAACTTTACTGAGCTCCTCATCTTCCTTCTTCACACTTGTGCTAGCGGCTTTCTTTCCTTCCTCTGTAGGTGATAAATTTACAATAACCAAATTTATTGCAGTTGCTATGAATATTGGTGGAATTGTGAGTAATCGGCAATCGCTTTTAGCAAAGTTATTAAATTCAATTTTTTTTTTAGGTCTTCGTTACTATTTCTGATATACATGAAGCAAGATTTTCTCGTGGTGCTCTTTTGGCGCTATTCAGTGCTTTCTTCTATGCCGCTTATCTAGTTTTTGTAAAACGAAAAAGCGACACCGAGGAAAAAGTTGACATTCCACTCTTTTTTGGTGAGTCTCTGTCTTTTTATTTATTTATTCCTTGACCGATAAATTTTTCTTGCTATTTACAGGCTTCGTTGGTCTCTGGAATCTTTTACTTATGTGGCCAATATTCCTTATTTTAAATTTTCTAAAAATCGAACAGTTTGAGCTACCAAATCAAAATCAATTCGCGATACTGTTTTTAAATGGTTTAGTTGGTACTGTGATCTCGGAAGCGCTTTGGCTATGGTATGTTGATCGGAATATTGATTCGCAAATAACTCTTTAGCTAATTTTATATATATTCATCAACAGGGGCTGCTTTCTCACCTCTTCCCTTATTGGCACTATTGCCATGTCTCTGCAAATACCACTATCCATTGTCTTTGATGTTGTTTTAAAGAGAAAGCCATATTCGCCTATGTTTTATATGGGCTCAATACCCATATTTTTGGCGCTAATATTGGTGGCATTGTTAATGCGCAACGATGACTCTGATCCATTAATGAGGCTGTTTAAGGTCATATATCGGAAATCGTGCCGTTGTCGCAAACCAAATATAGTCAGGTGGGTAATAAAAGGCATCTAAATATGCACTTGTTAAATATAGCTTTTTCTTCTCTTGTTTTTAATATTATTTTCGTTTAGAATAAACGATGAGGAACAGCAGGAATCGCTTATTGGCAGTAATGACTGAACTCACTTCCAGACATTTTGCTCACACTATATATAATGGAATATGTTTGTGAATATGTAGCGATATCATCTTCTAGCTCCTCTGTAGAAAGAAGGAACGTTTTTAAAAACAGTTTCATTCTAAATTGCTCAGAAAGCAAAACAACAATACTCTGGCTGTATTTCGAGTTTAATTCGAATTTTTATTATGAGAAAATACAAATCGCACAAATAATTTATTTCCCTAATATGTAGGTAGTATTCCCTAATATTTGCGCTCCAGGCGGTCTTAGGTTTCTCATTAATTTTATTTTATTTAGTAAAAACATTTTTCTTCCGATTTGTAAATAAACTTTCATAATTAATTGTGATATTATCGCAGACGCAACTTTTGCAAATATGTTGTACTCAATTATAATTTTTTAATACCAATAATTATGTGTGTCTCTTAATTTAGCTCATCACTACATATATGTATATTAGTTTCTTATTTTTTTACGAATGCGATTATTGGTTTTTGTCAGTTTTATTAGCGATTTTTAAAACTAGATAAATAAATATGCCTATATACCTATGTTCACTGCTAGTAATCTCATTATGTAGACTTCAAAGATACAATTTTTAACTGTATTTATACTGTGTATAGTTGTAGCTTGTTAAATTATGTAATCTATTTACAAAAGTTTACATGTATAGCGTATTTAACAATAAAAACAATAATACTAATAATCATTAAACTAAGGAATAAAGCAAATAAAAATTGAAGGTTGAGTAATTGATCTTTTTAGGTAGTTTTGGGGAATATTGCTGAAAGTGACTTCACTTACCCAGAGATAACAATCTGGGTCTTTCCGGTTACGTAAAATCGCCTGTCGGGGTCAAAACGTCGTCAGTTGGCTTAATTTGACAAATATTTGTAAGTATGGAATTTATTTATGTTTGATTTGACACCATGCCAATACCGATTTATTCAAAGTATTGAATGCATGTCCACATATATATATTACTCCATAGAAAATTTAAAAACCAAACTGGCAGAGTTCTGTAATAGACGTTCCCACGACAGTCGGGTCTACGTAACCGGAACGACCCAGATTTATATCTGGCCAAGGACTGTCACTCCAGCAACACTCCCCAAAAAGTCTTTGGGGAATTTGTATGCTGCTACAACAACAACAACAACAAGTTCTGTAATAGAAGTACTAGTAGTGACTTTTTGAATAAAATATATACATACAGTGTATTTTCGGCAAAACATCGTTTTATTACTCAACATAGGAAATAGTCACAGGGTCCACTTATGGAAGGCAGTTGAAGGGAGCAGTGTTGCATTTAAAGTTTTTGTGCGGAAAATTCAAAAAGTTACTGACTTTAAATTACTTTCATACTTTTACTTTTTGTATAACAGCATTTAATTTGATAAAATTTTTCCTGTACTTATTTGTTTGTCGATAGTCCTCTGCAATAACAACACAATTCAAGATTTAAAATATAAAAACTTACTACTGTTAGGTGTCTCAAGAGACATGAGCCTTATCCAATCCATGTATAATCCTTACTACTCCGCGATACATATTACAAGTACTTTCTAAGCAAAAAACAAAACCGACTTCCATTCCCATATAAAAGTTGAAGAGTACCGATAATTTCTTTATGATCCAATGATAGGATCTAAACTAAATTAGTATGGGACCACCTCTGAGGTACTACCGTTCCTTTAAAAAAAAGAATTATATAAATCGGTTAACGGGGCCCGAAGTTATGCGGTAACATACACAGAGAAAAATATTCCGACCGATTGATAACCTCCTTTTTTGGAGGCGGTTAAAATGTTTATGTTTTATTTATTTTATAAAATACTTACATAACATTAACAATTATAATATAAACCATAAAACAGCGCTAGCAGCAGAGGCTTTCGGTTAAAAATAAAAATGAATCCAATTTGAAAACGGAAAAAGGGCTAAAACGATTGCATGCGGTAATCGATAAATGAATAATATCAAGAATACCGACGAACAATATGGCAGCCTCGCAAAATAATCATTTTCCGACCGCAAACAACCATCGCTAGCAAACAAAAACAACACTGAGGATAAACTACCAAGAACGCCAACTTTTTGTTTATCAATTTTTCTTTGTGATTCTTCTTCGAAAGCATATTCTCAACGCGCCTGACTACGTGTCGCTTCCCCATTCCACGAGAACGACAGAAGAAAGAATCTCGGAGCCCAATATCTTCATTGTGTGTTGCTGCGTGTGTTCGTATATTTTCTCCCAAAGATTCCACACTCGGCTAGAGAGGCACAGTCAACAGCAACGAAGCGACTGGTAGCGGTAGTGGTGGCTCTTCACATCACCTGCATGTTCATTTATTTGCCAACTGCTGACGACATCGGAGGCAATTTGGGATTCGAGTTGGAGAAAAAATTATAAATTTTTCTATACTGTTTCTTAGTGGAAACCGCAACATGAAGCTGTATTTGGGATTTGGCCTAATCGCGCTAATGGCCGGTATTGTTGTGGCTGATGAAAGCAAGGGACCCAGAGTAACCGATAAGGTATGCATAATTAATAAGTAATAAATTTTTCAAAATGGTAGCCAAATGCTCTAAGGGTAGCTAATATGTTCTCATAAATTTGCATCGTTGTTGGCACACATTCAAGAGGATTTGCTTAATTATAACGTAATATGTGACATGTGTCTCCCACATTTCCGTTGTACAGCTTGGCTCTTTGTTGGATAAAATTTTTCTAACAAACTTATATTTTTGTATATATGTACGTATGTATGTATGTGTATTCTTTATTGTTTAGGTTTTCTTTGATATCAGCATTGGTGGTGAACCAGCTGGACGCATTGAGATTGGTCTCTTTGGCAAAACAGTGGAGAAAACAGCACGCAATTTTAAAGAACTCGCTGAGAAACCAGAAGGTGAAGGGTGAGTTAGCTAAAACATGAATATATATGTACATATATATGTATGCTTATGTATGGATAAACAACTTTTTGCCAACTTCCGAATATACATTGAATGCACATTGTTCTAAAAGTCTAACGAATGGCTTTTGTTAAGGGATATTTGCAATGAAATGAATAGTCTTAAGTCGGAGTATTCATTGAGGTTAGGTTTTCAAAAGCAGACTTAATGAAATGCTTGAGAATCACATTTGGGCCGGTGGAATGCAACTACTTGTAGTTTTGTTTACGCTGTATAGCTAATTTGGTCTCTCTGTATGTGTTTTTCTAAGTGCAATGTTGATTAGCATATTAAATTTCACCTGGAAAGAAATTTATTTTGGCACACAGTCAAATGAAGTTTGGGAACTTTGTCTACCTCACTATGCATGTCGTACTATTGCAATATTTAAATATTTAAAATGTATCAATTAATCATATATGTAGACCAATAAAAAATAAAAATAAATGCATTCTTAAATATTTAAATATCAGTCGTATTGAGTGCACATTTTTTAAAGTATCGGCTGAGTAGAATATGTATTAGTTTTTTTATTCCATCAGTTGCTTATCGGTACAATTTTAGTCAGTGTTTTATGTTACAGATGCTTTACTCTTTTATGTTTTAACATCAAGTTATTAGTTTTTGTTTGGCTGTGCCAGCCATTCAATTTGATGAGCGCCCACCCTCCTAGTAGTAGTATTAGTAAAGTAGATATGAATGTAGCCCTTATCCGTCAGACTTTAAAATTAAGAATTTCCCAGTCCCTTGCGGTAAAATAAATTTTAGCAAAAAAACCGTATCATATTTTCTTAAGGAGATATCTCAAATCCACGTTTGGAGCAGAGGTTATCGTCTCTTCAGTTACGAACGCTCTATAGAATGAGGTTAAGCAACTATCGCAACGACTTCGAGGTGAAGAATTTAAATTAATTTCACTTTACGCAATTAAAGATACTCGTATATTACTTGTGCGTAGATTTCTATATTCACAGCCAATTGCCTTAGCAATGCGAATGTGCACTGCTGCTCTTAATCGTAAGCATTTAATACAAATAAAAAAATAAATGGATCCCAATTGATGTTTGCAAACAATAATTGAGTGTTGAATTGACGTTAAGTACGCTATACACAATAAACGCTATTGTACTAAAAATAATAAAAAGCAGCAAGCAAATTTACCCGGCCATTGGGTCAGCCGGGCACTGCCAGGTATTGTCATAATATGTATTAACTATACATACATACATATAATAAGTAAATAGTATTTATTTACTAAATACATTGAATTTATTGTTATACTAGTAAATACAAATAAGATATAACATTGTTCATTTACATTACACTGCAGTGGTTAGGTGTAATGAACTCATAGACCACCTCAACTTGTATTATTACTATTAGTTACTTAGCCTATTTTTACAGCATTGAGCATATCCTATATAAATTTTTGTTTTGTTTATTTACTTGCAGCTACAAGGGCAGCAAATTCCACCGCGTTATCAAGGACTTTATGATTCAAGGTGGGGATTTCACCAAGGGCGATGGCACTGGCGGGCGTTCGATCTATGGTGAACGCTTCCCCGATGAGAACTTCAAGCTGAAGCATTATGGCGCCGGCTGGTTGAGCATGGCCAATGCTGGCAAAGATACCAATGGTTCACAGTTCTTTATCACGACCAAGGCTACCGAATGGCTGAATGGACGTCATGTCGTTTTCGGCAAAGTATTATCCGGCATGGATGTTGTGCGTAAAATAGAGAGCTCTGAAACAGATGGACGTGATCGTCCCACCAAAGATGTGGTTATTACCGATAGCGGTTCCTTACCTGTGCCTGAACCATTTGCCGTCTCGAAGACTGATGCTACCGATTAAGTGTGAGCAAATCGCGTACTAAATGCACGTACACATACAAATTCGCATTAAGAACAAGAAAAGTACGAGTATTTAGAAAGCTGAGGCGAGTGAAAGCAGTTGGCGAAAGAAATAAGAAATGTTAACATTTGCATAATGCGAGAGTTGAGATTATACAATAAAAATAATTAAAAACGAAAAGCAATTTTATCAGTGTTATAGCAAAAAGAAAAAGAAAAGTTAAAAGGCTTAAATATTTACATAAATTAAAACTTAATAGTTTCTCAACACTTTTGAGTTTGCCAAAAGAAAACTTCGCCAGATTTAAGAATTCCTTATTGCATTAAGAAATGAAACTTTGCATTTATCACATTGTACTAACATTTTAAGATTCATCAACGTAATTAAAAAATTAAAACACATAAAAATAACACAGTATTTAATTGAGAAATTAGAAAGTGGGGATTTACCGCAAAGCAGATGGCAAAATAAATAATGTTGACCAATATTTGCGGTCAGACAATTCATAATTTGATGCATTCATCGACGGGCAGTTCAATGTACCCACATGCTCACTCATTGAGCAAAGTACACAAAAAGTTTCGGCAAAATACAGATATATACATATTTGCTTTAAGCTTTTGTAGCTGCCTAGCCCTCCACGTTAGCGGCATCTTGTGACTTTAAGACCTGCTTAACCAGTTTTAAGAAGGGGGCGGGGGGAGGGGGGGATGCTAGTTAGCGCTTCATTTCAATTATGTGTCATCTCGGTTTGCATTTGTCTAGAAATAGTATTTTTCTGGTCTTCAAATATCTCTTCGTATTCTTGGAAGACTAGGTAGAAAACTAGATGTACTACTTAGGTTGATATTTTGATAATCTGCTTGTGTCGCTTTCTGTTATTTTCTCATTGCCAATGACCTTTTGGTTGCTTTTTGATTTGATTTTGTTTGCTTTGACATACTTTAAGTGCAAATACATAATACATATGTATGTAGACGCATTGACACGTGCATGTATGTATGTACCAGTGAGGGGATCCGTAGGAAATCTAATATTTGGAGGGAATAAACAAATTGGAGCAGAAGCTCGAAAAAACACTTAACAAAAGTGCACAGACGTTACATACATATTAATTTTTTATTATAAAAAAAACACTGAACTAAATGTATTCCGTAGTTGACAAATAGAGCGCTTTTTGTCCAAAAAAGTAAATCCCTTTTAATAAAGTATTTACCGAATTATCAAACTGTCCCCGTACTGATAAGGACGTTTGAAAGAAATTCAACTTAAAACTATTTTAAAATGAGCATTGTAATTGAGTCCAGAGCTATTTTACAAATGCCAATAAACCATGTATTTTTCAAGATATCGCTTTGTACTGTAGTGTGATGGTGCGTCTTCACACACATTTCTTCAAAATTGTCAATTAGGTCCATTGCAAAAGAGGGATAGAGGAAGCCAAAGGGTGCCAAAATTGAGCTGATTGTGTCAAAAGTTCGATGTTGGTATATTTCCTTCACTGATATGTACATAAAATGGTCGAAAAATTATAGCCGCACCACTAATGTCAAGTTGTTTTTTTTTTAATTAAATTTTAGTTATTTTTTATAAAAATATAGTTAATTCTTTAACAAAAACCGTATAAATCCAAGTTTCAAACTCTGTGCAGTAATTAAAAAACAAGTAATTTTTAAGCAAAAAACGAAACCGACTTCAATTCTTATATAAAAATTTAAGATTAAAGTTATTTTCTTCATCGGTTCTAAACCAAATTAGTATGGGACCATCTCGGAGGTACCACCTTTCCTTTAAAAAAGAATTATAGAAATCGGTTAACGTGGTTCAAAGTTATGCGGTAACATACATAAAAAATTAAATTAGGGGTATTCTCCAAATCTTGCAAAGCCATTGCACGTAGCACGGATTGCATGGATTGCATAACTTGCAAACACACAACAACAAAATACATGAGAAACAACATTTCCTATCGCTGCAAAATATGCAACGTCGAAACCCATGTATATATTTTGCAAAATAGCATAGCAAAATAAATGCGACCCTGTGCTAGTTGTTTTGTTGTTGGAATTGCTGCATATTTCTCTCATTCCTCTCATCTCGCTCACTTCATTTTTTTTTGCTGTTTCTTGTTATTGTAGTTGATACATAATTTCGCTCCTTGCTACCCATGCATGCTACCACTTTGCAATAGGGTGCTCTCATACTCTTCGAAATTTGGAATAGTATTTTTGCATTTCGTGCAATCCGTGCATCGTGCAAGACTTCGAGAATACCCCTATTGTGTTTATTCGTTATATGAAAGCAAATGTACTGGAATTGCATGGGGTAAAAAACTGCATGCTCAAAATCTATCTAAGAAGTAGTAAGTAAGTAAGTAAGTAGTAGTAGTAATTAAAAAGTTTGAATTTTTAACCGACTTCCAAAAAAGGAGGAGGTTATCAGTTCGTCGGAATATATATATATATATTATTATTATTTTTTTTTATGTATGTTACCGCATAACTTTGGACCACGATTTCGATAATTCTTTTTGCATCGGAAAGGTAGTGTCTCAGAGGTGGTCCCATACTAATCTGGTTAAGAACCGATCAGTGGATCATGAGATATATATATATATATTTTTTTTTATATGAGAGTTGAAGTCGGTTTATTTTTTGCTAAAAATTACTTGTTTGTTGATTTTTTTTTTAAATATTGGAAACTTGAATTAATTTACAATTAAATAACAAAAAAGAGAAAGAGTAACAGCTTATTAATATGGGGTGCGGCTATAATTTTTTCGACCACTGTACCTATATCCATATAAATGTGTAGGTATATACATAGATATGCAAATTAGACGCAATTCGCGATGTGATAATTTAAAGAAGTCACAAAAGGGTACTAGATTGTTATTGTCAACTTTCGTTCAAAGTTCTAATTAATAAATTGTACAAACATAATGTGCTATTGGAAATGTACATACATACATACATATATATATTTCGACTGTACTTTGGCAAAAGCTCGTATCTCAAAACACTCTCAAACAATACTTTCTAACCAAAATCCAATAAGTTTTGATCTGAATATTGTAGATTAAGTACGTTTTAGTTAATTAAGAATAAAGTATGATGAGTCGTAGTATTTAAAGGTCTATTTTGAATAGCTACAGAGTTTAGCCAAAGTACCGTCGATTTAATAATAATTGTGTGACATAAAATATCTCAAAGGCACAGGAAAAACAACTTTGCGCTAATGTAAACAAAGAGAAGCTATGTACTACCATTGGTTTTTGGTCAGACCGCATGATTTTTGGCTCCTGAATTGTTGGACTCAGTTGGAATAGATGTGGTAGGATCAGTTTATTGAAATTGAGTCTGCATCGCTACACTACAGACAGGAGAACTACAATATTTACTAACATTTTTCATCTTACACCCTCGAAAACCCTATTCAATAATAAAAAAAAAAAAAATAAAAATTGATACTTGTTTGCTTATTCACTTTTATTTACTTTTTTTTCAATGATTATCGCAAAAACTTAAATTTGTAAGTATACATATTTAATAATTTTTCAAATATCTATTTTGTTTTTAATATTTTAGTTTCAAATGGAAATATCGTCTATGTATTTGTGTTGTATGCTTGAATTAGCTCGTTTTACACCAGCTTTTCGATTAAATTGTGTGGATTTAATTTCACTTGTTTTTAATAATTTCCTATTTGGTTTTTTTTTTTTTGTTATGTAGCTTTTTATTATGGATTTTATTTATATTTTGCTTTTAATAATATGCAACACGAATGAATAACTATGTATTTCTTCTTTTTTTAAGTTGTGTATATGTTAAACATGCTTTCTTGCTACTTACATACATATATGTATTTATGTATATACGCTTTTTTGCTTAATTTTTGATACGCAATAAAAATTTGCTCTTGCTCGCTTTCACTTCTTAAATGAGTATTAATTTTCACACCTTCTGGTTCTAAAGTCTTAAAAATTTAAACATTATTTTCTTTCAGTGTTCAACATGCAATGCGTTTAGGATTTTCTTTGCAATTTCGTATGGTTTTTTATGTTTTAACATTTTTTTAATTAACTTTGCTACTTATAATCTACTATTTACATTTTAAATACATACATATGTATGGTTTAGCGTACACAATTTTTCAATATTTATGAGTTTAACAAGATTTATTTTTTATTATTCTTCAATGTAATTTTTTATTTTATTTTTTTTTATTTTGTAATACTTTTTTGCACATGCATTGTTCAATGATTTTCTTTGTTCCTTTCAGTTTTCTATTAGCAGCTTGTCAATTTTTAAACAACTATTTATTAATCCGTCCAACAATTGCATTTATTTTTTTTGTACTATTACAATTAAACTTTACTATTACTTGTCGCCTTTAAATGTTTATAATTTAATGCCTTTTAATTTTTAATATTTATTTATAAACTTTGGTTTTTGATATGACTTCGTTTCGGAGTGAGTTCAACAACTTTTTTTTTTTTAATTTCTATCCATAAATAATTTTGTTTTCGTTTATTTGTTGTGGATATTCGTTATAGCGATCGACTTTTGAAATGATAAAAACTTTAATGAACTACAAATTCAAATTTTTAGTTTGAAACTTAGCTATATTTGTTTGTTACACACATGCACATAGTTTATTATTTATGGTTTTTTGCATATTTATATGTATATTTTTTTATTTTTTCTGTATTCTGAGTATGTAGAAAACTTCGCTAACTCTAAAAGTTTTTTTTTTCTTCAATTGCCTAATCTTTAATTCGCTTGAGTAAAAACTTTATAAGTCTGTTAATGTACGTAGGTATTTGTTGGATCGAGAGATGTGAAAGATTTGCAGTTTTCATTGGTTTTTTTGCAAGTTAATTTTATTTTTTTTTTGGGGGGTTTAAAAGACAGACTATCAAAGTTGTAAAATTCCCATTTGGTTGTATGTAATTGTTTATTATTATTTTGTGTTAAATATATATTTTTTGTATGGGCCTAAGCTTGTGTAAAGACTTATTTTATCTATTAAAGACTAATGGGATATTCACACATGGCTGCTTATCAGGTTTTGTGGTTATATTTTTTACCAAGTTACGTTACAGCATTTTTACAAGTTACAACATTTTTGACCAGATAACGTGATAACCGGGCAGGTGTGAATACCGCATATGCTAGTTTTTTTTTAAATTCATATACTATATATGTATTTTTAAAACTCAAACCTGTTTAAGCATGGCAACCAAAGTGTAAGTTTATACCCTTTTTAT